CATTACTACCAACGGTTAGACTTTTGCCATTATTTCAATACTCTGTAGAATAAAAGGAAAAAATGAGTTTTTATAATAGTGAGAAGAAAAAAAAATGTATTCTACGTCAAAAAAATTAAACAAAAATGTGAGATACAAAAATGAAAACTATAAATTCAGAATAAAAAGAATGATAAATACAGTTTGAATATTACTTGACGTAGTTTCATTTTTTGTGTGTGAATGGTGATTTTGGAATTAATGTAATAGAATGTAAAGTAAATATTTAGTTGAGATTGTCATTTAGTTCTAATATTTTTCTTACAAGATTTAGGTAGAGAGATGTGGAAGAGAGTAGATGAAAGTGATAGAGATGGAGACAAATAGTTAAGATTTAAGGTTATAGTAATTGAGGGTATTTTCGTCTTCTCACACTAATTTAGAATGAAAATTGGGTGTAGGCAAAAGTCTTTTAACTTCATTTGATTTTAGTTGAAAATATTTCCCCATTAACAAATGTAGGGTGTAATTTCATTTTTGGTCCCTCATGTTTGCCCGATTTGACTTTTGGTCCCCCTTATTCTAAAGTGAACAAAGTTCACCTCCAAGTTTCAATTTTAAAAACTTTTGATCTCTGCCGTTACATATACGTTAGCAAGTAACGGAAAACACTATTTTGGGGTGAAAATTAAAATTTTAAAATCTTTTGGGGTTGAAAATAATTATAAATTTAAAATAGACTACTTATAATTTTTAATAATAAAAAAAAATCAAAGAAACAAATATTTTTAATATACTTAATATTATTATAATTATACTACTTATAATTATTTTTTAATAATAAAAAAATTAACTAAACAAATTATTTTAATAATACTTAATATTATTTTTTATTATACTACTTATGATAAACAAAATTAATAACAAAAAAGTAAATAAACAAATTATTTTTAATTATACTTAATATTATTATAGTTGTACTACTTATAATTATATTTTTAATAATATAAAATAAATTAACTAAACAATTTCTTTTTAATTATACTTAATAGTATTTTTAATTATACTACTTATAATAAAAAAAAATTAGCTGAACAAGTCATGTATAGTTATACTTAATATTATTACAATTATACTACTTATAATTGATTTTTTAATAATAAAAAAGAAATTAACTAAATAAATTATTGTGCATTATACTTAATATTAGTTTTTATTATACTACTTATGATTATTTTTTAATAATAAAAAAGAAATTAACTAAATAAATTTCATTATACTTAATATTATTAAAAGTTTAATTATAAGTAGTCTATTTTAAATTTCTAATTATTTTTCAGCCCCAAAAAATTTAAAAAATTAATTTTCGCCCCAAAATGGTGTTTTCCGTTACTTGCGAACGGACATGTAACGGTGGGGACCAAAAGTGTTCAAAATTGAAACTTGGAGGTGAACTTTGTTCGCTTTAAAATAAGGGGGACCAATTGGTAAATCGGGCCAAACATGAGGGACCAAAAGTGTAATTATCCCACAAACATAGTGTGTAAATTAAATATTGGGTTAAATACAAAAACACCCATGTACTAGCACTTTTATCATATACCCCCCTGTACTACTCATAATACAAAACCC